CAAATCCATACCAACACAAGCTGTTCACTCCTCTCTCTTTCCCTCTTAGAATTTGAATCTATATAGTTTTCTTTGACATCGATGGCAGTGGTACCTCAAAAGACGAGGCGTGAACGCAGTATGTTTTCATCATCGGATGACACTGCAATGATGAAGCAAATTCAGGCCACTCATGCTCCTGATGGCCGTGAATTTTCAGTGAAGCCTCTTCTTCATATTGTCGAGGACATTTTCCTCCGCGCCACTCCTGCCCTAGGCATGACCAGCATTGTTCAGCAGCAGGTATTTACGTAACCAGAAGTACTGCCTCTTGCATGCTATATTTTTATGTGCTTATTATATTGGCATGATAATTTATTCAGCATTATTATTATGTTTCTGATCGTCACTGGTGACTTCTATATTTTAGGGAGCTCATCAAGCACAACTTGATGAATTGGAAGAGAAGGCTCTTCAAAATGGCTTTCACGAAACGATCGAGATGCTGTCTTACAATATCAACAAGATTTCCTGCGAGGTAAGTTTGGACAGAAAAGATTTGTGGGTTTATAAATTCATGATGTTTAAAGACACTTATGAATACGCTGCTTTTTTCCAACAGATGTCCTGCAAGTGTTCTGGAGGTGGAGATGCACATGCAACAACTTTGGCAATATTCAACTTGGTATCAAACTACTCGTGGGACGAAAAGGTGGTGCTAGCGTTAGCTGGATTTGCCGTGAACTATGGGGAGTTTTGGCTTGTCGCCCAGCTTTACCTTACAAACCCACTAGCTAAAGCGGTTGCACTTTTGAAACAATTGCCGGATATAATTGAACGAGCTGACAATCTGAAGCCCAAGTTTGAGGCACTGACAAGCCTTATCAGGGCCATGATGGATGTGGCCAAATGCATAGTTGAGTTCAAGGAGCTTCCTTCTCAGTACATCACCCCTGACACTCCAGAAATGTTAACTGCCACTGCGCATATCCCCACTGCTGTTTACTGGACCATCAGGAGTATTGTGGCTTGCGCATCACAGATTATGGGGCTTATTGGCATGGGTCATGAGTATGTGTTTCCTTCTCCATGATAAATTAGCCAATATACATGTTGCTTCTCAATGACTTGCTTATGTTAATCAGAAATATTCTTGCACCAAAATAACATGTTGACAAGCTCAGTCTACTCTGGCTCTTGCTATGAAAGTAGAATGGTTTGCACATGCATGCAAAGCAGCCAAAAGTAGAGTGAAAAAGGCGCTAAACTTTTCTTTTGCATCTCACTATCTGCTCCACAGGTACATAGCATCCACAACAGAGGCTTGGGACCTATCAAGCTTGCCCACGAGGTTCATGTTGTCAAGCTTGGCCCACAAGGTTAATAACATTCACAGCCATCTCATGAAGCAGCTCACTCTTTGTTTTCAGCACATAGGTGAGTCCGAGCCCTCTCAAACAACTGCAATTCATATCAAGCAGTATATTATAATATTCACCATTTAAAAAAATTATGTTTTCATGCAAAATACATGCTGGATGGTGATAACTAGTGATCTCTCTGTGACCCAGATGAGAAAAGACATATTGAAGCATTTCAAACACTTGTGAGCCTGTTCGAAGCTTTCCACATTGACAACATGAAGATTCTAAAGGCTTTGATTTATGCCAAGGACGATCAACTACCACTCTTTGATGGTTCCACCAAGAAAAGGGTTCGTTTATTGTTCTGTTCTTTCAGTCCATTTTATTCAGATTGTGTTGCTGTTAGTTAATTCACTGGATGATAAAGACCAGAGAGACTGTTGAGTAAAAACTGCATGCGGTCTTGCTTGAAATCTTACCACATAATAGTTATGCAGATATCAATCATACTTCCTGACGAGAATGTTTGTCAATGATCCTCCTATATGAATATACAAGGATAAAACAGATTTCCCACTGTTAATTACAGGCAAGCCTTGATGTGTTGAGAAGGAGGAGTGTGTTGCTGCTGATTTCGGACCTCGAAATCTCCCACGAAGAGCTTTCAATGCTGCAACAAATGTACAGTGAGGCGCGGGAGCAACCAGGAAGACCAGAGAGCCAATATGAGGTTGTATGGCTCCCAGTTGTGGACAGATCAACCCCGTGGACTGAAACAAAGCAAAAGCTGTTTGAGGATTTTCAAAGGATGATGCCATGGTACTCTGTCTATCACCCTTCATTACTAGATGTTGCAGTCATCAGGTACATCAAAGAGGTGTGGCACTTCAGCAAGAGGCCCTTGCTAGTGGTTTTGGATCCACAAGGGAGAGTAGTCAACCCCAATGCAATCCACATGATGTGGATTTGGGGAAGCCTGGCTTTCCCTTTCACCAGCTTAAGGGAGGAAGCACTCTGGAAAGAAGAAACCTGGAAAATCGAGCTATTGGCAGATAGCATTGATCCACTGATCGTGTCTTGGGTATATAGCTTTGCTCTCTTGCATGCATAACCAAACTAAAATGCAGTCTTTATCTCAACATTCTATCGACATCATCTGCCACTTGCAATTTCTCAGCAGAGGGATTCAAATTTCCCAACTTGAAACTGATTCATAAAATAGACAACAACCCTACCGGTGCATAGGAATTTCATACACGCATTATTCATGGATTTAACACAAGTAATTAATTGTTATTGCAGATAGAACAAGGGAAGCACATATGCTTGTATGGTGGGGAGGACATTGAGTGGATCCGTAAATTCACCGTTACTGCAAAAGAAGTTGCGAGCAAGGCCGCTATAACGTTAGAAATGCTCTATGTAGGGAAGAGCAACCCCAGGGAGAAAGTTAGGAAAAATAACTCTATTATTACGACCGAGAAACTTAGCCATGTATTGCCAGACCTCACTTTGATCTGGTTCTTTTGGGTGAGGCTGGAAAGCATGTGGCATTCCAAGGTGCAACACAAGAGGACTGTAGAGAATGACACCATCATGCAGGAGATAATGACAATGCTCAGCTTCGATGGAAGTGATCAAGGATGGGCTGTGATCAGCAGGGGACCTACTGATATGGCCAAAGCAAAGGGAGAAACCATATTGAAATCTTTTGATGAATTCGAGATGTGGAAGGAGGGTGCACAGGAAAATGGTTTTCTGCCTGCACTGATTGATTACCTCCATCAACTCCATAGCCCATTCCACTGCAACCGTCTGATACTGCCAGGGGCTACAGGGGGCATCCCAGAGAGGGTTGTTTGTGCTGAATGCGGCCGTCCAATGGAGAAGTTCATCATGTATCGTTGCTGTACCGATTGAGCTTTATTACAAGTACAACGGCATGCTATTTACGTTTTAAATCACTATCTATTTCAATAAAACCAAGGCAGACACGGCCACTGTCGCCGCCGCTACTATCCGTGATGTTGCAAAATCAGCTCTGGTGTGGAATATGTCAAGACTTTTCTTCTACTACATGTTATTTGTATTGTAATATGATGCTTATAATTAATGAAAGGTGTTGTTTGCAATACCATTTCTGGTTTCTACATGTCCATTTGCTTAGCAATGTTCTTACCACTCATCAGAAAATCTGCTAGAAATCAGAGCATATCTTAGGGCACGATGACAAGGATTTGATATAGAACATAAAGCCATTGAACTTTAGGGATTTGAATCCATACTCAACCCTTAATAACATCCAGTAACTAATTCAGATTTCTTATAGCGCGGGGCGTTTTTAATCTCGTTTCCCCCCTGGAAGTTCATGAAGACTTGAAATTAACCTTTCGATCTTTGAACACTCTGTATCTGCTCCTTATTAGAATAGATTGTTTATTTCGCAGAAGGAAGATTGTTTGCAGGCTGGCTTCGATCAATTTCATCAACATAAAATTTTTTTAAAAAAAAAAACAGTAGAAAACAAGAGACCAGATCGGAAAAGAAAGACAGGAATGTACCAGGAGACAGGTAACACGGTGCTGGAAACAAAGCACCGTGCTGTTTAATACTGGTAATAACATCAATTAATTTATGCTTCGGAAAACATGAATTTCTCCCACTAATTACAGGGGAGAGTTCACCAGTAGGAAGCAACAGAAAGATGAACACCAAATTACCATTAAAGATGGAAATTAATTAAAAATGTTGCAAGCCCGGCCACGAAACACAACCACGCATTTCCAAAGAAACGTAGCATGTATTACATACATATATACATACATATATGAAAGCGTTTGGGATTGCAATAAATATACGCTTCCGTTGACACGTGCTTACAGATCTGTAAAAGCCATTGGAGAACGCAACGCCTATCGAAAGCGATTAACAGTAAAAACAAAAAGAAACACAAACAAATTGAGACTTGAAACAAGTTGATCTACACGGAGATGAGAGGAGAGCAGAGGATGTGATTTCCTTTTCGTGACCTGACAAGAATGCCCCTCGAGCCAAGGCCCAGAATGATAATTAATGGAAGCCGACACGGATGGGCTTCACAGGCACGTGGGTTCGGGTCGGGTTGGGTTGGGTTGCGGAGGTTGTATGACCTTCCTGTATTTTGAATTCACATAAAAAAACTAAGAGATAGGGGGATTTTATTTTACTCACTTGAATAGTGGTTTTTTTTTCTTTGGATTTTTTTTTATAATTTGTATTTAAAAAAAATTAATTTTATTTTTTAATATTAATTTTATTTACTGTTTGAATTTATTTTTTATGAAATTGTTTTAGACTCATGATTTAAATTATAAATTTAATTATTTGAATCAATTTTTTTTCTAATTAATTTTTTTCTTAATGTCACAAAAAAAAAAATAGAATAAGGTTTCACCGTACGTCTCCTTAAAATATTATTCACTTTAATAATTTTTTTTTCCTTCCTTTGGATTTCAAAAAAAAAAAACCTTTGATTTTCGTTCTATCCACAACATTGCATCTGATACGATTTTCTATGAGTTCATTTACAGCCAGGTGTATCTGAAATGAAGGGCAAGTTAGTTTTACTTTTGATATCAAAGGCAGAGCTCCTTCCACAGGAAGGATAGCTTCCTTCTGCTGCTTGATAGAACATATGATCATCCTTACCACAAGAAGTTAGAGGGAAGTTATGAAATTGTTTGGATCTCAATTTCTGATACATGGACTGATGCTGAAAGGGACATACTCGATTTTTTGTCAAACTCTTTGCCATGGTACTCAGTCAGGCGACCGTGGGTGCTCTACCAAGCTGTTGTGAACTACATAAAACAAGAATGGGACTACAAAAATGTCCCTCCTATTGTAGTGTTTGGATTCACAAGGTATGGTCAGAAAATCAAATGCAATGGATATGTTGTTCATCTGGGGTGCCAGAGCATACCCCTTCTCAACTTCGAAAGAAAAGGAACTCTGGGACGAAGAGAATTGGACCCTGAAACTTTTGCTTGATGAAATTGACCCTCTATTAACCACCTGGGTATGATACTAGCATCTTCAATAAGGTTGCATACTTAAGGAATTACTTTTATCGCCTTTGCACTCATTACATTGCATTGATGTCAGGTAGAAGAAGGCAGAAATATTTGCATTTATGGAAGTGACAACCTAGACTGGATTAGGGAATTCAATGCCACATGTAAGGTGATCAGAAATGCTGGTGTGCAACTTGAAATGGTGTATGTTGGCTGCAAAGACCTTGGCGAACAAGTAAGACGCCTGTTAGCTATTATCGATGAAGAACTGCACAGAAGTTTATTCTCTTTCACAAAACTTCATTTCTTTTGGCTTCGGTTGGAGAGTATCAGAAGATCAGAACTCCAACTGGGTGTGGAAGATTTTAAAAAACTATACTTTTTAATAAAATAATTTATTTAAATTGATATAATAACCAACAAATTAACTCAATAACTTAGTAACTCATCTATTATAGTTTTAAAACGCTATTTAAAGTAACAAGAGCAAGTCTATGGTTATGAGCCAAAATGATTAATCTAAATTAACCTAATTATTTTTAAAGAATTAAAATAATATTATTTTAATAAAAAAATTATAAATAAATCAACTAATTAGTAGTCAAATTGTAATCAGGGTTAGACATTGATGAAATCGATTATTGAGTCAATTAATTTTTATTTTTCAATCCAATCCAGTTTCAAATTAAACGGGTTTATCCTTTTTCTTTTCCACCTTATACTTTGATTTTGGCCCCATGTCATTCTTTGGAATTTCATAAAGTTTTATGGTTTATTTGATATTTTTAATTTCTCAATCATCCTTTTTTCAAAGAAAAAAAGTAATCATACGTAAATATATAATAATAAAAAAGTACCCTTTTAAGTAAATATATAATAATAAAAAAGATTTGAACTTGGGTAAGCTTAGTTATATATTGAAACGACCTCATGTAACGCAACGCACACGAGCATTAATAGTTTTTAAAGGTATTACATTGACTTAAAGTTCTTTTTTGTTAAATAATATTAAAACGATATATAATGTGTTGCACACTTTACCATTAAATTTAACAGAAATAAATCATAAAAGACAAAGAAACATTCTTCAGAGAAAGTTCATAAACATTTTCTCCATTCCTTCATCTTATTGTCTGGTTAGAATTAGCGTGCAGCCATTTCAGAATAACACGTGAAATATGATCAGAGTACTGCTGCCTTTTTCTTTGTTTGAGAACGTAATTTCATTCTATGACGTTGGAATTTGAATTCCAGATCTCTTGAAAAGAGTAAATTACATTGATGTCAGATGAGTTACAGCTTGTTAATGATTTCTGTCTTCTGAGTCTCAACAAGCATAGCAAGGGCGTTGCCGCTGAAACAACATTCCGATCATGGGCTGACTGGAAAGTATGGACCTGTGACATGCTCGGCATCAACGTGTTCCACAAAATTAAAATTTAAACTGAGACATACTCAGCACCAACGTGTTCCACAAAATAGAAGTAAAATCAGCAATCATAGTATTCGAATCTTCGACAACATTGTTAAAATCAAAGCCAAAAGAGAGAGTAAAATCAGTTAAATTAATTATAGAAAGGACCTTATCCAAAATTATATATATCCTGTTAAGCAAGCTAGCACCGCCGGCTTGGTAAAAAACAATAGGTACCAATTCGGTGTCACTTGCAGCACCAATTGATGCCTACCTTGTTTTTGTTTTTTGCAAGACAAAGACAAGAATGCTTGCCTATAAATAAGGCAGTGCACCCTCGCCATATTGAACACACACAAGAGAGAAATAAGAGAGGAAGAACAGAGTGAGAGAGGGAAAATAATCTCATAAAATTATAAGGTATTTGTGAGAGTAAGTGAGGTATTTTCTTCTATTATTAGAGAGATTTCAGTTGTTCTCCTATTAATAGAGAGAGGTTGTAATTCCTACATTACTTAGTAAAATCCTTCTATACTTGCCTGTGAACGTAGCCCAATTGGGTGAATCACGTAAATTCTTATGTGTCTCATTTCTCATTTTATCCGGTCCTTTACCTTTTATCTTGTCAGGTTTGCATGCTAGTATCCTAACAGTGATATCAGAGCTTTCTAGTTGGTGTTGTTAATACATAAGAAATTATTCGTGTATGCTGTTACTATTCACGGCTACGGCACTATTCACCTATACAATACTATTCATCCATACAGTATTGTTCACATCCGTTACTGTTGGCGTATATAGAAAGTCTGTGCGGTGATTAAATATAGTCTAGGAAGTTCTGTCTAAGAAGATTGAGTTTTAAGCGGGACCGTTTGTGACCCCTCCAATCTTTCCTAGGAACGAACTTAGTGAAGTATTATTCACACGATACTATTTCTGTATATATTACAGATCTGTGAAACGGTGATAGCTGAATAGATCTTGGTGAATACAATGGCAACAAAGTACGAGATTGAGAGGTTTAATAGAAGCAATTTCTCACTGTAGAAAATAAGAATCAAGGCAATCTTAAAGAAAGACAATTGCTTGGCAGCAATTAGGGATCGGCCCACGGAGATCACTGATAATGCAAAATGGAATGAGATGGATGGCAATGTTATTGCTAACATACATTTAGCATTAGCCGATGAAGTATTATCAAGTGTGGTGGAGAAGAAAAGAGCTAAGGAGATATAGGAGTCCAAGTCCTTGCATAATAAGATTTTCTTAAAACGGAGACTTTATACCCTTTGAATGGCAGAAACCACATTGGTGACTGACCACATCAACATAATAAGAACTCTATTTTCACAACTCACCATAGTGGGTCAGCAAATAGAGAAAAATGAACGTACAGAGCTTTTACTTCAAAGTCTTCCTGATTTATATGATCAACTCATTATCAACTTGATAAATAATATCCTCTCAGACTATCTAGTCTTTGATGATGTTACAGCCGCTATCTTGGAAGAAGAAAATAGGCGCAAAAACAAAGGAGACAGAAACAGTTCAAACTAAGCAGAGGCGTTGTTGGTGTCAAGAGAAGATCAACAGAGCGTGGCTCCAGTGGGAGTCAAAGGCAGGGGAGGTCCAAATCAAGAAGTAAGAAAACTGTGAAATGCTACAACTATGGTAAAAAGAGGCATTTCAAAAAGGATTATTGGTTTAAAAAAGGTATAGAGAATACTGCAGAGTCGTCAAAATCTCAAGGATGTGTTGCGAGCACCTCAGAAGATGGAGAGGTTTTATATAGTGAAGCAGCGACAATCTCTACAGATAGAGAAGAGCTCACTGAGGTCTAGCTAATGGATTCAGGAGCAACATGGCATATGACTCCTAATCGAGATTGGTTCCATACATATAAACCCATCTCTGGAGGCAAAGTGTTTGTGGGTGATAATCATGCTTTAGAGATTGTTGGCATTGGCACCATCAAATTAAATATGTATGATGGCTTAATTCGTACTATTTCAGGAGTACGACATGTGAAAGACTTAAAGAAGAATCTTTTGTCCATAGGACAATTTGATAGTCTTGGTTGTAAGATTTGAATAGACAATGGAATTATGAAAATCATCAAAGGAGCGCTGGTGGTTTTAAAGGCAAGAAAGACAGTTGCAAATATATTTGCATTAATGGGAGAAACACATCATAAAGCAGAAGCGTCAATCGCATCAGCCAATCCTACAGAAAAGAAGACGATGATGTGGCATCAAAAATTAGGTCACATGTCAGAGAAAGGTTTAAAGGTTCTCTCTGATCAGAAGTTACTCCCTGGGCTTATAAAGGTTACTTTACCTTTTTATGAGCACTGTGTTACAAGTAAACAACACAGGTTGAATTTTGACACATCAACAACTAAGAGCAAATGCATCTTAGACCTGATTCACTCTGATTTTTGGCAAGCACCGGTTGTATCTTTGGGAGGAGTAAGGTACTTTGTATCATTCATAGATGACTTCTCTAGGAGATGTTGGGTGTATCCAATTAGAAGGAAGGTAGATGTGATTGCAGTCTTTAAAACTTTCAAAGCCCGAGTGGAACTTGAATCTAAAAAGAAGATCAAGTGTTTAAGGACTGACAATGGAAGAGAATATACCAGTGATGAATTTCATAACTTCTGTCAACATGAAGGTATCAAAAGGCAGTTCACAACGGCATACACTCCACAACAAAATGGAGTGGCAGAGCGGATGAACAGAACTCTATTAGAAAGAACAAGAGCAATGTTGAAGGCAACAGGTCTAGGAAAGTCATTCTGGGCAGAAGCAGTCAATACTGCCTGTTATGTGATAAATCGATCTCCATTAACTGCAATTAAGCTAAAGACACCGATGGAGATATGGACTAGAAAACCAGATGATTATTCTCGATTGCATATATTTGGAAGTCTTGTGTGCGTGATGTACAATACACAAGAAGTTAGCAAACTGGATTCAAAATCCAGAAAATGTGTATTCTTGGGATATGTTGATGGAGTGAAGGGGTATCGTTTGTGGGATCCCACTGCCCACAAGGTAGTCATCAACAGAGATGTCATATTTGTAGAAGGTAAAATAAAAATGGAAAAACATAATAGCATTCTAAAGGAGACTACAGCAGTCCATGTGGAAAATTCTCAGAATCATACTTCTTCTGAAGTTGCACCAGAGCATGAAGAACAAGAACAAATAAAGTCCAAAACTCCTGAAATTCGGCGGTCGACTCGTGAAAGAAGACCACCAGCCTGACACTCAGACTATGTTACTGAAAGTAACATTGCATACTGTCTTCTAACAGAGGATGGAGAGCCTTCAACTTTTCATGAGGCTATCAAAAGCACAGATGTATCTATGTGGATGACAGTAATGCAAGAGGAGATTGAAACTCTGCACAAGAATAATACTTGGGATCTTGTTCCACTACCACAAGAAAGAAAGGCCATTAGTAACAAATGGGTTTACAAGATAAAGCATGATGGCAATGATCAAGTGGAGCGGTATCGTACAAGATTGGTAGTGAAAGGATATGCTCAGAAAGAAGAAATAGACTTCAATGAGATATTTTCTCTGGTGGTACAACTTACTACAATCAGAGTAGTCTTGGCAATGTGTGTTATATTTAATCTTCACTTAGAGCAGTTAGATGTGAAAACTGCATTTCTTCATGGAGAACTTAAAGAAGAAATTTATATGCTCCAACCAGAGGGTTTTGCTGAAACAGGCAAGAAGAACTTGGTTTACAGGTTGAACAAATCTCTATACAGCCTCAAACAGGCGTCGAGGTGTTGGTAAAAGAGATTTGATTCCTTCATAATTAGCCTTGGGTACAACAGATTCAGTTCAGACCATTGTACGTATTACAAGAGGTTTGAGAAAGATGATGTTTTCATCATTCTGTTGTTGTACGTGGATGACATGTTGGTAATAGGCCCCAACAAAGATCGAGTCAAAGAATTAAAGGCACAATTGGCTAGGGAGTTTGATATGAAGGACTTGGGACCAGCAAACAAGATTCTAGGGATGCAAATTTACCAAGACAGAAGTAAGAGGAAGATTTGGCTTTCTCAGAAGAATTATTTAAAGAAGATCTTGCGACACTTCAACATGCAAGATTGTAAATCAATTTCCACCCCACTTCCTATTAACTTCAAATTATCCTCAAGTATGTCTCCTAGCAATGAAGTAGAGAGGATGGAGATGTCTCGAGTACCGTATGCATCAGCAGTGGGAAGTTTAATGTTTGTTATGATATGTACAAAACCAGACATTGCACAAGCAGTGGGAGCAACTAGTCGATACATGGAAAATCCTGGTAAAAAGTATTGAAATACTATTAAGAGGATCTTGAGATACATCAAGGGTACCTTAGATGCTGCATTATGTTATGGAGGATCAAAATTTACGGTCAGAGGTTATGTTGACTCAGATTTTGCTGGTGACCCTGAGAAAAGAAAATCCACTACAGGCTATGTGTTCATAATTGCAAGAGGAGCTGTGAGCTGGATTTTTAAACTTCAGACTGTTGTAGCATTGTCCATAACAGAAACTGAGTACATGGCAGCTACACAAGCATGTAAAGAAGCAATATGGATGAAGAAACTTATGGAGAAGCTCGGGTACAAATAAGATAATATTCTTTTGTATTGTGATAGTCAAAGTGTCTTGTATATTGCAAGGAATTCAGCATTTTATTCAAGAACAAAACACATAGATGTTAGTATCACTTTGTTCGCGAAGTGGTGGAAGATGGAAGTGTGGATTTTCAAAAGGTTCACACAAAGGAAAACCCAACAGATGCTTTGACGAAACCGGTCAACACTGATAAGTATATATGGTGCAGATCCTCTTACGGCCTAGCAGAAACGCAAGCAGCATGAAGATGACAAGTATAGAAAGGATAGAAGAAACACAGATGATCAAGTGTGAAGACTTGATTAAATCATCAAAGTCTTCAAGTGGGAGAATGTGAAGCAAGCTGGCACCGCCAGCTTGGTCAAAAACAATGGGCACCAATTCGGTGCCACTTGCAACACCAATTGGTGCCTACCTTGCTTTTGTCTTTTGCAAGACAAAGGCAAGGATGCTTGTCTATAAATAGGCAGTGCATCCTCGCCATATTGAACACACACAAGAGAGAAATAAGAGAGGAAGAATAGAGTGAGAGAGGGAAAATAATTTCACAAAATTATAAAGTATTTGTAAGAGTAAATGAGATATTTTCTCCTATTATTAGAGAGATTTTAGTTGTTCTCCTATTAATAGAGAGAGGTTGTAATTCCCACATTACTTAGTAAAATCCCTTGCCTATAGATGTAGTCCAATTGGATGAACCACGTAAATTATTGTGTATCTTATTTGTTATTTTATCTGGTTTTTTATTTTTTATCTTGTCGAGTTTGCATGTGAGTATTCTAAAATATCGCTGGGACACTTTAGAGCTTAAACCCCCCGTCTGAAGCAAGGTAATTCTAGCTTTGACCTATAAATACAAGTCTCGGATCAGCTAACGAAATCCATACCAACACAAGCTGCTCACTCCTCTTTCTTTCCCTCTTAGAATTTGAATCTACATAGTTTTCTTTGACCTCGATGGCCAATCTATATAGTTTTCTTTGACCTCGATGGCCACTCATGCTCCTGATGGCCGTCAACGCAGTACGTTTTCATCATCGGATGACACTGCAATGATGAAGCAAGTTCAGGCCACTCATGCTCATGATGGCCGTGAATTTTCATTGAAGCCTCTTCTTCATATTGTTGAGGACATTTTCCTCCGTGCCGCTCCTGCCCTAGGGTCAGCAGCAGGTATATACATAACCAGTGGTACTGCCTCTTGCATGCTATATTTTTATGTGCTTATTATACTGGTATGATAATTTATTCAGCATTATTATTGTGTTTCTGATCATCACTGGTGACTTCTATATTTTAGGGAGCTACTTGATGAATTGGAAGAGAAGGCTCTTCAAAATGGCTTTCACGAAACGATCGACATGCTGTCTTACAATATCAACAAGATTTCCTGCGAGGTAAGTTTGGACAGAAAAGATTTGTGGGTTTATAACTTCATGATGTTTAAAGAAACTTATGAATACGAGTTTATAAATTCATGATGTTTAAAGACACTTATGAATACGCTGCTTTTTTCCAACAGATGTCCTGCAAGTGTTCTGGAGGTGGAGATGCACATGCAACAACTTTGGCAATATTCAACTTGGTATCAAACTACTCGTGGGACGAAAAGGTGGTGCTAGCGTTAGCTGGATTTGCCGTGAACTATGGGGAGTTTTGGCTTGTCGCCCAGCTTTAGGCTTGTCGCCCAGTTTTACCTTACAAACCCACTAGCTAAAGCGGTTGCACTTCTGAAGCAATTGCCGGATATAATTGAACGAGCTGACAATCTGAAGCCCAAGTTTGAGGAACTTACAAGCCTTATCAAGGCCATGATGGATGTGGCCCAAGGCATATTTAAGTTCAAGAAGCTTCCGTCTCAACACATCCAGACACTCCAGAAATGTTAACTGCCACTGCGCATATCCCCACTGCTGTTTACTGGACCATCAGGAGTATTGTGGCTTGCGCATCACAACTGGACCATCAGGAGTATTGTGGCTTGCGCATCACAAATTATGGCCCTTAGTGGCATGGGTCATGAGTATGTGTTTCCTTCTCCATGAAAAATTTGCTCCATTCCCAACCAGTATACATGTTGCTTCTCAATGACTTGCTTATATCAATCCGAAATATTTTTGCACCAGAATAGCATATAGACAAGCTCAGTCTACTCTGGCTCTGGTCATGAAAGTAGTAGAGAACGGTTTGCACAAGCATGCAAAGCAGCCAAAAGTAGAGTGAAAAGGGTGCTAAACTTTTCTTTTGCATCTCACTATCTGCTCCACAGGTACATAGCATCCACAACAGAGGCTTGGGACCTATCAAGCTTGCCCACGAGGTTCATAACATTCACAGCTATCTCATCAAGCAGCCCACCCTTTTGTTTTCAGCACATAGGTGAGTCCGAGCCCACTCAAACAACTGCAATTCATATCAAGCAGTATATTATAATATTCACCATTTAAAAAAATTATGTTTTGATCCAAAATACATGCTGGATGGTAATAACTAGTGATCTCTCTGTGGCCAAGATGAGAAAATGCATATTTAAGTATTTCAAACGCTTGGAAGCCTGTTCGAAGCTTTCCACATTGACAACATGAAGATTCTAAAGGCTTTGATTTATGACAATGACGGTCAACTACCACTCTTTGATGGTTCCACCAAGAAAAGGGTTCGGTTATTGTTCTGTTCTTTCAGTCCATTTTATTCAGATTGTGTTGCTGTTAGTTAATTCACTGGATGATAGAGACCAGAGAGATTGTTGAGTATAAACTTGATAAAGACCAGAGAGACTGTTGAGTAAAAACTGCATGCGGTCTTGCTTGAAATCTTACCACATAATAGTTATGCAGATATCAATCATACTTCCTGACGAGAATGTTTGTCAATGATCCTCCTATATGAATATACAAGGATAAAACAGATTTCCCACTGTTAATTACAGGCAAGCCTTGATGTGTTGAGAAGGAGGAGTGTGATCCTGCTGGTTTCGGACCTTGAAATCTCCCACAAAGAGCTTTCAATCCAGCAACAAATGTACAGTGAGGTGCGGGAGCAACCAGGAAGGCCAGAGAGCCAGTATGAGGTTGTATGGCTCCCAGTTGAGGACAGATCATCCCCGTCGAGTGAAACAAAGCAAAAGCTGTTGAAGGATTTTCAAAGGATGATGCCATGGTACTCTGTCTATCACCCTTCATTGATAGATGTTGCAATCATCAAGTACATCAAAGAGGTGTGGCAATTCAACAAGAGGCCCTAGCTTGTGTTTTGGATCCACAAGGGAGAGGAGTCAACCCCAATGCAATCCACATGATGTGGATTTGGGGAAGCCTGGCTTTCCCTTTCACCAGCTTAAGGGAGGAAGCACTCTGGAAAGAAGAAAACTGGAATATCGAGCTATTGGCAGATAGCATTGATCCAATGATCTTGTCTTGGGTATAGCTGTGCTCCCTTGCATGCATAATCAAACTAAAATGCAGTCTTTATCTCAACATCTATCGACATCATCTACTACTTGCAATTTCTCAGCAGAGGGATTCAAATTTCCCAACTTGAAACTGATTCATAAACTAGACTACAACCCGACTGGTGAACATGAATTTCGTACGCGCATTATTCATGAATTTTACACAACTAATTAATTGTTATTGCAGATAGATCAAGGGAAGTACATATGCTTGTATGGTGGGGAGGACATGGAGTGGATCCGTAAATTGGCCGTTACTGCAATAGAAGTTGCGAACAAGGCCGCTACAACGTTAGAAATGCTCTAAGCAGGGAAGAGCAACCCCAGGGAGAAAGTTAGGAAAAAAATAACTCTATTATTACGACCGAGAAACTTAGCCATGTATTGCCAGACCTCACTTTGATCTGGTTCTTTTGGGTGACGCTGGAGAGCATGTGGCATTCCAAGGCGCATCACAAGAGGACTGTAGAGAATGACGCCATCATGCAGGAGATAGTGAGAATGCTCAGCTTCGATGGAAGTGATCAAGGATGGGCAGTGATCAGCAGGGGACCTACTGATATGGCCAAGGCAAAGGGATAAACCATATTGAAATCTTTTGTTCCCTTTGAGGTATAGAGGGAGGGTGCACGGGAAGAGGGTTTTCTGCCTGCACTGATTGATTACCTCCATGAACACCATAGAGGGGCTACAGGGAGCATCCCAGGGAGGGTTGTTTGTGGTGAATGCGGCCGTCCAAAGGAGAATTTCTTCTGGTATTAGAATTGTAATATGATGCTTATAATTAATGAAACCAGGTGTTGTTTGCTGTAACATGTCCAGTTCTACATGTCCATTTTGCTTAGCAATGTTCTTAGCACTCATCAGAAAATCTACAAGAAATCAGAGCATATCTTAGGCCTCGATGACAAGGATTTGATTTAGAATATAAAGCCATTAAACTTTGGGGATTTGAATCCATACTCAAACCTTGATGACTTCCCAGTAACTGATTCATATTTCTTATTGCGTGTGGCGTTTTCAATTTCGTTTCCCCCTTGGAAGTTCTTGAAGACTTGAAATTAACCTTTCGATCTTTGAACACTCTTTGTCTCAGATCCTTGTTCGAATAGATTGTTTATTTCGTGGGGCTTCGATCAATTTCATTACCATAAAATTTCTTTAAAAAAAAATGTGGAAAACAAGAGACCAGATCGAAAAATAAAGATAGGAATGTACCAGGAGACAGGTAACACGGTGCTGGAAACAAAGCACCGTGCTGTTTAATACTGGTAATAACATCAATTAATTTATGCTTCGGAAAACATGAATTTTATCAATTAATTTATGCTTCGGAAACATGAATTTCTCCCACTAATTACAAGGGAGAGTTCACCAGTAGGAAGCAACAGCAAGATAAACACCAAGTTATCATAAAGATGGAAATTAATTAAAAGTGTTGCAACCCCAGCCATGAAACCAACTACGCAGTGTTGCAAACCCAGCCATGAAACCAACTACGCATTTCCAAGGAAACGTAGCATGTATTATACACATACATACATAAGTATATATGAAAGGGTTTGGGATTGCAATAAATATACGCTTCCGTTGACACGTCCTTACGGAACTGTAAAAGCCATTGAAGAACGCAACGCCTATCGAAAGCGATCAACAGCAAACACAAAAACAAGAAACACAAACAAATTGAGACTTAGAACAAGTTGATCTACACGTAGAAGAGAGGAGGGATGAGGAGGGAAGTGCGGCGTTAGGGATTCTTATGCTTCTTCTAGTGCGTCTGCTAGGGGTTTTATTTATATAGAGTGGATGTGATTTCCTTTTCGTGACATGACAAGAATGCCCCTCAAGCGAAGGCCCAGAATGATAATTAATGGAAGCCAACACGGATGGGCTTCAGTCCAACCGGTACTTCTGAGGCGCGTCGGTTCGGGTTGGGTTGGGTTGGGTTGTGTAGGTTAAGACCTTCCTGTATTTTGAATTCACAAAAAAACTGAAGAGAAAGTGGGGATTTTGTTGTACTCACTTGAATAGTGTTTTTTTTTATAATTATTATTTTTTAAAAAATTATTTTTTAATATTATTTTTATTTAATATTGAATTTTATAATTTTTTTAATTTATTGTTTATGATACTTTTTCAGTCTTTTTATCTAAACTGCAAATTTGATGGGTTTATTAAAATTAATTTTTCTTTTAATTTTATAAAACATTTATAAAAGAAGGGATTTTTTTCTTTCTCTCCTTGCAAACCGTATTCACTGTAATAGTATTTTTTTTTCTTTCTTTGGATTTTGGAAAAAGAAAACCTATATTTTTTTTGAAAAAAATTAATTTTATCCTAAAATATTAGGTTTGTTGAGAATTTAACTTCATTATTTTTTTAATTTTTTTTCATATGGTTATCTCAATCTGATGACTCAAACTACAAGTTTGATAAGTTGACTTAAGTTTATTCGAGTCATTTTTTATATTTTTAATTAATTTTTAAATTTTATCTTTTAATATTATATTTATTACGGATTGACCTTTATGATTTTTTTCAATTTACTTTATATAAAATTATCCTAGTCTCATGCCCCCAGCTGTGGATTTGACAAATTAATTTAGTTGGCTTGATTATTTTTTTTATTTTTCTCATTAACTTTTTTTCTCAATTTTATCCTTCAATATTGGGTTGACTAGAAATTAGCTTCATGATCTATTATCAAGTTAATCTTGTGAATAGGATCAAGTGTTTAGTGGATTAACATGAGTTGACTTGAGTCGATTTTTTATTTTTTTTAATTTTATCTTTTAACACTAGGTTGATGGAGAATTTAGACTCATAATTTATTTTAACTTTTTTCTATTGGGTTATCTTGATTTGATGATTCGAGTTGCGATTTTGTCAAGTTAACTCAGGTAGACTTAGGTTATTTTTTGATATTTTCTAAATTTGTTTATTTAATTTCATCTTTAACATTAGGTTTATTTTTTAATAATTTATTTTGATTTACTTTTTATTAGGTTATCATATTTTCATGTCCCGGTATGTGAATTGACAGGTTGTTAATTTTTAAAAACTAAATGTTTTTCTTTTATTTTGTTCTTCAATGTTTTGTTGATTGGTTATATTTTTTTATATTATTTACATGAGAGTGTCCAAGACTTATGACCCAAATTGGATGTTTAATTGGTTAATTTATGTTTTTTGTATCTTTTTAAATTGAATTTTTCACTCAATTTTATCTTCCAATATTTTATTATTTTATATATTCTTTTATGTTATAATATTAATTAAAGATGTGTTTTTATATTTTATTTTATTAAATTTCATTTCATTTTAGCTTTTCTATCAAGTAAGATTATAAAAATGTTTTCATAATTTTAAAGCATTGTTTTTGTGCATGTCATAATGATAAAAAAAAAATTCTTAATTCTTACTATTTATCATGGTTGAATTTTTTTTATTATCATATAAATTAAAAACAAAGTTATTAAACCTATTTAGATCTATGAAAATTATCATATTGAAATCATTAAAAAAAAAAAAGTTTATTTCTAGAAAATATACTCATAATAACTTAACATTTTTTTATGTGAATTGTTTTTATTTGATTCATGACATGGTTCGAGTCATAGTCTAAGTCATCGATATAGTAAGAGTTAGAGTATGAAATTTTAGTTTAATATTTTTTTAAAAAAATCTTACCTCTTTAATTAAAATTTAACTAATTAACAGTAATAAAACAATATTATTTCCTTTTGTTTTATAATTAACCTGCTAGTGTTTATATCATAAGAAAATAGGTACTGAGTGCACCATCTTTAACTTTCAAAATTAATAAGGACCGATTGTGAAGAGGAAATTATTGATTTTTCTTCTCAAGTTATTTTGTTTATTGGAATAATATTTTTTTTAATTTTATTTATAAATATTAAATTTATTGAAGATTAAATTTTATGATTTATTTTAGTTTATTTTTTGCAAGGTTATATTAGTCTTATAACTTGAGTCGCAAGTTTTACAGATTAACCCGGTTGACTCAGCTTTTTTACATCTTTTTTTGTAACTGATTTTTTTTTATTTTATCA